AAGGGCTGTTGAGTCAGTGAGTTTTAGTTTAATTAGAAATAGAATTATGCTTATAGTTTTTAATCTAAGGCAAATCGAAAAACTGCGTCCTTTAAATTATAAGGTATTTCTTTCGCCTTCTTAGCATGCCTTCGTGGTGCGGTGATCTGCACGCTGGGCGCGTATTCCAGAGGCCCGTGGTTTGATTCCCGGCGAAGGCGTTGCTCATTTTTCATCTCTCCCGCTTCCAAAATAATGTCTCTACAATGGCGCCGGAACTAAAAAGGTGGTGGAGGATGATTCTCCACAACCAGGATTTGGCGATTAGGTCCCCCCAAAACCCCAGTCGCCTTTTAAAAGGGGGGAGTATAAAAGGTATTTCTCCCGCTTTCTTAGCATACCTTCGTGGTGTGGTGGTCTGCACGCTGGGCGCGTATGTAACAGGTCCGTGGTTCGACTCCCGGCGAAGGCAGTGCTCATTTTTCATCTCTACTGCTTCCAAAATAACTAATGTCTCTAGAAAATATTTCACGTTAATTTTCGCATATTCATCTCTCATATTTTGCGTTAATTTTCTTATTATTCATTAATTTCTTATGTTTTATTTTGTATCCTTCTGTCACTTCTTAACTTAGACAAGTGTCTTACTTGGCCCACTCTTGGCATCGTTCTGATTAGACATATGCATACATAATATGTATACAAATGCGTAGAAAAATATATTCTTAGAACGTATAGTTTATGGTAAGCTTCTGGAAAATGTTTCACCATTATAAAACTTCTAGACAAAATTCTTCTAAGCTGTATCATGTAGGGAATATTTCTAAAGCATTAAAATACTTACTTGAACATGAAGCCACTTGATTTTTAGCAAAACAGCTCATTGCGTTTTTTCATTTTGCAAAATAGTTGAATGTTGACTTTTGACTTTAATATTTATCTGATTTATAAAGTGAATAGCTATATGTATATAGTTTCTAAGACAACGTTGTTTATAACAATCACTCTTTATAGTAGCCATTTTTATAACACCTAATACAAAAAATGTTCCCAAATGATGAGAATTTTTTAAATCAATTGCAAGGAAGGTTATTTTTTAGTTTTAAACTAACCAGTTTTGTTCAGGTATATAGCTTTTCTATCTTCCACCGTTTCCATTTCCTGTCAGAATGATAGTTCAGTTTCGCGTGATATGCAAAGTAGGGTAGAAATATACTATTTGAGCTGGTGTCTGAGTTACTTCAGACAGAGCGTGTTCTGCAGTTCAGCCACATTGTTTCAAAGCTATTTAAACTTGCTATTTTATGGCCGGGCATTTTAATTGCCGTTTTGTGTACGTCGGTGGTAGGGCTAGCAACCAGCACGCGTTAACTATCTCTGTGCAGCTTCGGCTGATTATTTAACTTAGTTTTAACTTTATATTTCTATTTTGAGTTGCATTCAAATGTTAGGCTACGTTTCTAAATGTTAGGCTAAGCCAAATGTTAGGCTAAGTTTCTAATGTGGCTAAGTTTCTAAGCACCAGGAGTGCCGTCTCTAATTACTTCTTGAGTTGAATAAAAGTGTCTTTCACCCTTCCTATGTCTTGCCGTTGATACAGTTTGAACTTAGCGAATAGTCGCTTTACAGTTCAAGTAAAGATCTAGCCAGCTTTAATTTGGCTAGAATCTTGCACAATTTACACTGTACTGGCCGTTCATTATAACGTCTCTTTTCTATTAGATACGAAAGATTATTATAATTAGGGAAACTGTACATATTAAAAAAGTATTAAAAATATATTTGCTTGGATTGTTATCCAAGTACTATTTTATCTTATCGAATAATATTTCGTTACCGGTGAAAAAGAATTATTTCCATTTTAAAAAGAGAACTTTAGTATTTTTACTTACAACTATATGTGTGAAAGCAAATACTGAAATTAATGAACATCCGAAAAGTTGTAAATTGGCCACTTTTTTTACAATTGGGGAAAAAAAAAAAAAAATCTGTGGAGTAGAAAATTGTGAAGGGAAGAAGTAGAAATTTGAAATGTTAAATAAAAGGAACACAAGAAAAAGGATTTTAAATTTATTTTAAAATTTTCAGTACAAAACTACTACTACGAGAGCTATATTAATAGTTAATTATTTAACCAAGATCTGGAAGGTAAAAAATGGAAATAAAATCATCATTGCTCAGGAAGATTAGATATATGTAGACCAAGCTAATTTATCTCTTTTCGTGCAAAAACATTTGACGTGAGACAATTAATAATGCAAAAGCCTTTCAGAAACTCTCCAGTGGGAAATTAAAAGAATAACAGAGTGTTCTTACGCCATGTTTTTGCGGCCCTTGTCATACATTCGCCTCCAGAAATTCGTAACTTGTTTTCACTAGAAGTCTGAGAACCAATTTTCACCAATACAGATTATCACTAATGAGTCTCATCGCTCTCTCTCAAAGGCAATGAAAATAAAAATATCCAGCTCATTTTGTTTTACATGAGAATTTTCTCACTGTGGTACAGTTTCGTTTTTGTGTAGTTTCAAGGGTCTCCTATTTGTATAATATATATATATATATGTAAAATATATATATATATATATATATATATGTCAAATATATATATATATATATATATATGTAAAATATAAAAAAATACGATGGCTTTGCTCTACGCGAACAAGCAACCTCTAATTAACTTCCCGCAATTTCAGAATCTTCCTCCTAGACCAGTACTTTTGAGAACATCGGGCATGTTAAAACCCATTAGCCGCTGGTGTTGCGTTGACGCAACGGTCAAAATAAATGCGTATATAAATATAACTACCTAAGATATTTTATACCAGCCAGATGATTTTGTGTAGGGAATATTATGAAGATTATTTCTGTAAAAACATATTTGCCTTCAACAATCATTTTGTTTATAATAATTAATCTCATACTTTAAGCAAAATTTAAGCAAAATTTTCGACCGGGTATTTTTGCTGAAAATTTTTAACGAAAGATTCGCAGTCTTTATGAGTGATCTGTTTTTAGTCAAGGTCACCGTTTATCAGAACATTTCATCAGTCAGATGTTTATATTTGTGTTGGGAAGCGAGGGAAAACAGGTGTTGCGTTGACGCAACGTCAGGAGGAAACGGGTAGTCAATCTCCTTTTTCACTCATTCCATTCGATGTTCCTGGTTCATGTTTGGTTGTTTAAAAATGCCTAGAACGAGGTATCTTACATTAGAAGAAGCTCTTCAAAGATTTTTTGATGAAGAAACAGATGATGATAATGTTAATAATGACCAGAATGAAACTGATATTGTTGTTGTTCCCCCAGAAATTGCAGAGGCTCATGACGAAGAAGAAAGTAATATCAATGTTTTAAATAATGATAATAATATTTTACCAAATGATACTGCTGGGGAAGTTGAAATTCACGTAAGAAGTAAGTTTCAGCCTTCTAAAACCAGTTACAGTCATACTAAAAAGTTTAAAAAGCAGAAGACTGAAATCTTGAAGTGGATAAAAAAAGGAACTGTTAGTTATGTCTCAGGAAGAACATGATTATTGCATCTGAAGCTTATATGAGAAGATTTATTGGAATATTATTGCTTACAGGATATCATTCTTTACCTCAAGAAAAAATGTATTGGTCTTTTGATAAGAACATTTCTCTTCCTGTTGTACGAGAATGGATATCACGTTTGCAGTACAGGAATATGAAGCAGAATTTGCATTTGACAATAGTCAAATTGGCAATACTGATAAATTATATGAGGTGAGACCGTATCTAAACTTACTAAATATCACCATTTTTTACTACTGGAAATATAAAGTCTCTTTTAGATTTCAGACGCGAGAATGCATTATTATTTTTGCAAACTACTATTGAGAGTGTAGAATTAGCCAGAAATAGAGCAGCAGCAGGAAGACCTAGTAAATTCAGCATTCAAAAACCATTGAATGGAGATGGTAGACATTTTATCGTAAAGTCCGTTGATAACAAAAGACTTTGTTGTAAAAAGTACCATAGCTAGACTGTTTATAGATGCAAAGTATGTAATGTAGCTTTACATCATGATTGTAATCAAGCTTTACATGCTTGAATCTTTCAAATGAAATAATCTGTATTTGTAAAAGAAATACACTGTATACTTTATATTAAATTAATTACAAGTAAAGTGATTTGAAGATTTATAAAACGTTATACAGCTAAAGAGTAATCCTGCGCTTCACTCAAAAGAAACATTACACGAGTACAATCCTTACTCACTAAACATCCGTAGTCTTATTGCGCTGACGTTGCTCGAACGCAACACTCGCTTTTTCCATAGGTAAGAGCATTTTTTTAAATTTTCAATGTAAATTTATGTTATAAATAATTTATGTTATAAGCGCAGGATTTATAAATGCTTAATTTAATATTTGTTCTTATTTTCATGAGAAAAGAAACATTCCTTGTAGTTTTGGCGGTTAATGGGTTAAGTAACCGCTGCTATAAATGAAGAGTGTGCGCCATTTTTCGTCAGATTTCTTTTCTCCGCCTGCCGTTGTAACAACTTTTGCTGCTACTCTGTCTTTCTTTGTTTGAATAGTACGACGCAATAAATTTAAAGTTAATTGTATTCAGTCTAAATTACTATCGCATATGTAATCTTGAATGATCTGCCATTTGCAATGAATAAAGATATGGGACTAAAAAGTTAAATTCTTCTGTGTCGTCGTTGGATGTCTTACTTACACTCAGCCACAACAATGTTCTAATCAATACATATAATTTAATAGAATATATAAGTAGGTCCTAAGGTTTCTTTCACCTATGCAGTCGCATAATATCGCATATCTTGCGTACCCCTATTTATGCCACTGCCGACAGGATTCCATAATCGGATAAGGTAATTTACTTTCATATGTTTAAGGCATACATGGAAGTACATCGATTTTTATGTTTGAAATGCACTTTTTTCCTCCAAATCTTACCTAATATTACTTTTGATATTCACGTTGATAATAAATAAGGTGACGTTTTTTCATAATTTTCAACAGGAAATGTCTTCCATCCATTTGGCTTACAACCGTAAACTGCTCTTCTCATACTCTCAACATTCCGGAATCTTCTCGTATCCGGCATTCGATATTTTCTGAGCTTTTACTGTATTTCAAATTGAAGGAGTTACTCCATCTGCAACAGAAAATTACCCATCATGACTCCACATTCGCACCTACAAAGATTGACCTACGATGTACTGTATCCCACACCCATCCAGCACGCAGAGGAAAAGGTATCAAAGTCACACTGACACAGCACAGCGACTCAGAGCTGACCTCAGCGATCTTCACAGATGGCTCAAAATCTGATGCAGGAGTAGGAAGTGCCCTAGTCCATCTCACTAACTCTGTACAGACATATCACTGGAAGGGCACCTCACGGAACATAACAGCGTCTTCCAGGCAGAGGCCTTAGCCTTGGAGCAAACAGTCCGCTATGCCATTACACAGAATCTCCGAAATATATAAATAATCTCAGACAGCCAATCTGTGCTACAAGCGATCCGCAATCTTTCACATTATTCACAACCAGTAAGGTCCATACAACAATTACTTCGCAACAGCACGCATCTAAACATCACTCTCCATTGGACCAAGCCACATGCAGGATATGCGGAGAATGAGCTTGCTGATTCTCTAGCCAAATAAGCGGCTTCTAATATATAGGCAACCCAATGCTACTTCCCGGCACCAAGATCCTACCTTAAGCGCCCTATTCTGAACATTTCCCTACAAAAATGGCAAACGGGATGGGACAACAGTGACAAAGGGCGTCATTCGTACGATTTTCTCTCAAAAGTCTGCATAAATAGATTTTGCTCTGCCGCATAGCTTACTAGATACAGGGGACATGGTCCATTCCCTGAGTATTTCTTCACCCGAGCCATCACGAACTCGGGCCTTTGTATTTGCGGAGCACAAAGAAGCCCTGACCACTACGTCACGGAATGTCCACTAACCGAAAGGTTCCATATCAGAATGCCTTCCACCAATAGCAACCCATTCAAACGGTTTATATTGAGAACTCCAGCCCTACGACAGAGAACCTACAACTTCATTAACCTGCTAATGTCATCAGCACTGGATATTGTGGCCACGAACTAAGTAAGATCTATGTCAATTTTTTTCCTGAAACGTTTTTGTGGCGTTTGTACGAGCAAATATATGCTTTACTCCACTAACGACTGTGCCACTAGTGCCAGAATTGCAGCAGTAAAAATAATTAATTAATTAAGCAATCAAGCAGTGAGGTACATAAATATTCAAGCTTACATGAATTTATGTATTCAATGTAAACTACGATGCATACGTACTCTTTATGTATCCAAGAAATATTGTATATATATATATATGAGTGTCAACAACCATACTAAGTACTCATAACTAATGTATCTAGGATAATGTAATCAACTAATCAAATGTTTTTATTGCATTCAAGTATTCAAGTATATAACTAGTATTTAAATATATAAACGGTATTCATAACATAATTATGTATTTATTACAACAACGCATGTATGTACTCAAATAACGCAAGCCCCAAATAATGAATGTAAACAGGTCTAATGTATGTCCTACCGTAATCAAGCTGTCAAGTACATAACTAATGTATCTATGTAACTTTATAGTGTATCCAATGTATTAATGTATTTTATTGATGGATCATATTTCATACATTTAAGTAGTTGTTGATGTATCTAAGAATTATGGCAACGTGTGCCCAAGAGCATCACCAACGCATTCTAACAGCTTATATTCATGCAGCTAACGTATTCATGTAACACCATCCAGGTCCCTGTTCGTTCATGCAGCTTCACAGAGAAGCAAATGCATTCCCGAGGCAGGCCTCCTGGGACTCGGGAGCGGCCGGTTCAAGATAGTGGAGGGCGTAGGACATATACCTGCTTACCTTTGTTAGACATCAGGTGTCCCCGTCCTCCGTCACCTGTCACTTGTATTTCAAATTATTTCAGAGTAAACGTAATAATCACCACGGTTTGCAATATGCCGCTATTTTTCTAACAACAAATTTCATTCCGATAAGGATGGGGTATAACACTTTTTTTTAAGTAGGAAAAAAAAATTCTTACTGATAAAAAAATTTCTAGGTCAGTAAATAATTGGAAATTTTCAGGCCTGAAGGAGAAAACGATAGGACATTTAATCGTAAAAAGAGTGAAAAAGGTGGTCGTTTTCGAAAGCTAGAAGAAAACGTGACAGAATGTATTTTTCGCCTTATGGATAGGAGAAATTAATGACCAAAATACAAGGTATATGTTCAATTTGTCTACCTATTGTTATCATGAAAAGTGCATGCCATACTGATTAGATTTATATACATATAGGAGTCTTTTCCTTTTCGTATTATTTTTAAAAAATCAATGAAAAACTGTCTTTCAGGATAGAAACTGTATTAATAGGAAGACTACGTTTTTTTGCACCTTAATATAATTTTGGTTCTCCCAGTTATAGAATACAATCAATATTTGTAATAGTTTGTTTAGAAATATAATGAAACCGCACGGGGAATAATGATTCATGCGAGTAGAATGCTTTTATCTAACTCTCAATAGCGTCCTGTATCATCCTAGCGCACCATTTCTACACACACATTATATTACTAATCTGTTTGTTTCGAGCTTCCCTACCTACCTTTAAAATTTTTGCCACATACATTTTAACCAGTATTATATAGTCATATATATTTCGCAAAATGTTAAAAAGAATACAGATTGAACATGTTTTGGGATTTTTTTAATATCATTATTTTAGATAACCTGTCAGTTCACTTAATAATACGCTACGAATATATATCAAAAGCACTCCAAGTTATAAATTAATATCTACGTTAATTTTTTCCATGGAACTTTTATGTTATCAATTATAAAAAATGTTATTTTCTGCGGTTTGTTCTCTGTTTTGCAATACACATACACTAAATGGTAATGTACTTACATGAGGGGAAAAATCATAAATAAAAATAATAAAAAAAAGAGTATAAAATTTGTCTCAGACTGAATAAACTGTCCTGCTAATTTACGGACTGTTTTAGCTTGAACTACCCAATGAAATACGCAAAAGGTAATGTCTGCTAACCACCGTGAATCCGATTAGGAAGGTAGAATATGAATAAAGGAAGTACATTAATATCTATGCTGAACCCCGCAGACCGTAATGAAAAACTTAAGATTCAACAGTCTCCTTCTTGCGTCTCGATGGGAGAGAGATCTGGCGATCTGGCTGGCCAAGGAAGGGTTTGACAAGCTGTAAGACAGTTCATAGCAACACGTGCCGTGCGTAGTCTGGTATTATCTTGCTGTCAAATAAGGCCAGGGTACTGCAAAAGGAACGGTAGCAAAACAGGTCTCAAAGGTCATCGAGTACCGCTGTGCTGTAAATGTGCCTGTAATGACGCCCAAGGAAGCCCGGCTATCAAGGGAAATGGCACTTCAGATCATACCTCCTGGTTGAGGGCCTGTGTGGCGTGCAATAGTGATAGTAGGATCGGCACGCTGCTCTGATCGTCTCCAGACAACGTTTCGATGATCGTCACGATACAGTTGAAAGCGGGCTTAGTCGCTAAAGACTATACGTCCTCAGTCAGCATCATTCCAACCTGATCAAGCCAAGCACCACTGTAATCTAGCTTGACAGTGTGCAGGCGTGAGTGGCAGGTGACGTAACGGTCGGTACGAGCGTAGATTTCGCTCTATCAGCCATCTGTGAATGGTCATGGTGGACCATTCGTATGCGGGTCGTACGTCTGATAGTTGATAGCGATGAATCAGGCGCTGTGACAGTTGATTTGACAATCACTCTGTCTTCCCGATCTGTTATGGCCCTAGGTCAACCGCTACAAACATGACGTTGAAATCTGCCATAGTTCATCCATTCTTGCCAGCATCTTCTAATCGCCGCACCGCTTCGACTCATATGACGAGCGATTCTCCGATTTGCCCAGCTTTCTCTTTCAATCCAATGATACGACCTCTTTCAAACTCTGACAGTTGCAATCAGCTCGAATCCTGCGGCGAGGCATTTTTTCAGTTGTTGAAAGGTATCCTAAATAGCAATGCAACAAAAATTTTTAACAACAGTTCAAAAACAGCTCCTTATATACATCTGCTGAATGCGCTGGAGATAGTACTATTTATTCATTGGACACCAAATTTCAATCATTTGCATATTTGGTCAAAACATTTATGCATATGAAATTTCAAAGAAATTTCTTCTTGGTTTGTCGATTTTTTTGTTATAGAGTTCGTTTCCAAATCATTGTCTAATATGGAGCATCATACAAACCAAGACTCTAGAGATTACAAAACAAGACTGAAAGAGGTCGTCGGATATTTTGGGAGCAGAAGACGTGAAAAATGAGCAATGCCCTTGCCGACAGTCGAACCACGGACCTCTCGAATACGCGCCGACCGTGCTGACCACTACACCACGAAGGCATGCTAAGAAGGCGGGAGAAATACCTTATAACGCTAATTACTAATTATTAAGGCATTTATTTTGTAAAGATAGACTGGTTTACTTTTGCCTATAAGCTGGCTCACAACAATGTGCTCAGGAGCTGTATAGGTTTAGATGGGCCTTATATCATCTTTTTATAAGTAAAATCTTAGCATCAAGTGAAAATACAGTTCCTATACGTAAGGGTGGTCTGCCTTGTTCAAAACATGGCTGGTACTTTTTTTTAAAAAAGCCAGTGTTTTTCTTTAAGCAATGCGTTTCTCTTCTCCTTTCACATTAAGCCAATCTGCACTGCCTGTGAAGAATGGGTTTCATCAGAAATAAAAGTACATTAAACTAGATTAAATGAAACTGTAGCTGATTAGGTGAAATTAAAATTTTGCAATAGTTTACCAATAATTGTAATAAACTCTTACAAGTATTAGCAAAATAATAAAGATTTACGACGTAACGAATCACCTGTACCTATTACTTGCTAACAGCATTAACATTATTTTCCATACATTGGAAATATGCTTTCCTTTTATAGGTTTTAAAAAAAATTAAAATAAGCTGAATGCCTGAATCTGTAATTGTTCTAAATTAAGGCAAAAACAGCAATCTCGTGGCAACTCACCGTTTTGGTGTGGCAGATAATAGCTGAAAATTTATCACCTTGAAGCTCCAGATGTCGCTCTGATCTATGAGTTACACATTTCTTAAAAAGGCTAAAGAATTTTAACATCCTGGTCATGTAAACATATAAAAGTTCTTTTTTTGTAATGTTTTTAACAACTTTCCGAATTTATTTTCTTGACACTTGTTTAAAATAACAATGAACAGTTTGGGTTTTATTTTGCACGCATCAGTATACTGTAATTTAATTTCTTTAGAAAGATCCTGTATCATTGTTCCAAATTTTCTCCATTAATAGCTCTCAGAAACTGTATACTCCAGACTGCTAAAAATAAAACAAATATTAACTTTTCTAAAAGTCATTATTTTTATAAGTACTGAATAATAATCATTTAAAATACCCTTTTCATGAAGTTATTCTTTTAAGATAAATTTTGAGAATGTCAATTTTATTTTCAGGATTGTGTAATAGATTTCACTGATTATTAAAAATGGCATTTCTACCAAACAAAAGCTCTGAAAATCTAGTAGCTCTCCAGAATGTACTTTACATTGTCGAGGAATCAAAGACGTCGGATTTGCATGACTTAAATGAAATCTTTGCAAAAGATAGAAAACTTCCATTTGTGCGGAAGATGTATTTAGCAGCCTTTACATCTCTCCTAATGGCTCTTGCCATGGGACTTGCCACAGGATATTCTTCACCTGCTACTTATGATATGACTACTCGCCCTGGAAGTCCTGTTCAGCCTTCCAAAGATGCAGTCTCCTGGATAGGAAGCACACTTGCCCTTGGTGCAATGCTCGGAGGTGTATGTGCAGGTGGGTACTTAAAACTTCTTCCCGAATATAAGCTTGTTTATTATGTTTCCTGTGTTACACGTTTTTGAAGATAGATAAAGATACGTATTTTTGCAGGAAATATCGAATAAGTATTCCTGTTTTGGATGTTCAGAAAATGTGTGCATATTTAGTAACAAACGCATGGAAATTCAGTATAAACTGTAGAACTATGACACGAATAATTAAAAGCAATATTAACTTATTCTTCTATGGCATATTTCTGAAAATTATATTTATGAGTATCAGTAAAAGATAATATTCCGAATACAATCCCAATATAGCAGTTTAATCTAATTTTCGAACATTAAGAATACCATGGGAATGGCATAAAAGTAGTTTTGAAATTGCTAGCAGTGATTGGCAGTAAAGAGTTAGCAGAGGTGGTAGGCATATCTTGTGAGGAAGATAATTGAAGAAATGAAAAAAGCGAGACAAGACGATTCGATATTAGATTTCAGGAGTTTAGCAGGTTAAGTGAGTCGCCATCTAGTGAGAGCATTAAGAACTTCGGCGTAAAAATGCATCAAGGCTTAATTTTCGTTTTCTGCAAATTCAAGAGATATCTTGGTACTTACGTATTATCGCAACCAGGTTGGCGTTATTTGTAACTTTGAGTAAAAAAGTATGAATAGAAAGAAAATGTACATTTATTAATTACAGATAATTTTTAATACAGTTTTTTATATTATTTTGTTTTAAAATATAAAATAGCAATTAAACCCTTCCGGTTTCGAATTTGAATAAGTTGAACTCTACTTACGGCTTTAGACCCTACTTACGGCAACCCTACGTGTTATACGTTGTTTTGTAAAATGAGCATGTGGAGATTCACAAAATTTTCCTGCATTTTTGTGCAAATTTTTGTAATTTATGAGAAAATAGCAGTGTACATGGATAAAGTCAAGAGTGTGCGCAATGCCATTTTTGTGCAATTCTGGGATGTTTTTTTAAGTAAAAATAAGTCGACGCGTACATGGTTATGGCGAATACGGTTTTCAATCAGTGCTAAAAGCAATAGCCAAAAGATTCCGCCGAAAAAATAATTCTGCAACTATTAAACCCTTCCGGTTTCGAATTTGAATAAGTTGCAGAATTATTTTTTCGGCGGCGGAAATCTTTTGGCTATTGCTTTTAGCACTGATTGAAAAACGTATTCGCCATAACCATGTACGCGTCGACTTATTTTTAATTTAAAAAACATCCCAGAATTGCACAAAAATGGCATTGCGCACACTCTTGACTTTATCCATGTACACTGCTATTTTCTCATAAATTACAAAAATTTGCACGAAAATGCAAGAAACTTTTGTGAATCTCCACATGCTCTTTTTACAAAACTACGTATAACACGTAGGGTTGCCGTAAGTAGGGTCGCCAAATTTGGCAATTTATGCGAATTTTGGCCTGGTTGCGTTAATACGTAAGTACCGATATCTTCACTGCTTCGAAGGCTATAGCTAATTTTTCCGTGCTAGTTTTCGAATGCTTAATTCTTTCTGCGATACTGTTCATCTCTCGAATAAAATTAAACACTTTGGAGTCTTGAAAGACTTGAAAAATATCGTCTACTTCTTTATCTGGGATCTGCTGCTGATTGAACACGGCGCTGAAGGGCATGTTTCGTTGAACGTTTTGGATTTCTGCTTCGGTTTTAGTTTTTAGAGCTGGGAAATCTTCTTGGATGGGTAACGGCTGAAATTTTTCTATTGTTTTGGGAGCTTGACATCTCTTTTCGTAGACCGGACATCCACGATAGGATCTTACGTGATCACCTCGGCAAAAATAACAGATAGGCTTTTCTTTAGGTTTTACTAATTTGAACTTATTTGTACGGTGGTTCTGAGAGCACTTACAGCAGATGTCTTTTTTAAAACAGTTGGTTTGGGAATGTCTATAAGACTGACACTTAAAACACTGTACAGGTCTTCTGTGTTTGGGTGCGTATTTCTCGATGGTAACGTTAAAGTTAAAAATATTATTGACATTAATGAATCGCTTCTCCGGCTTTATTTCTTTCAAGTTCGATGAAGTAGATTGGCAGTTTGATGTACTCATTCTCTATTTTTTCGTAAACTGCTTGACTTTTAGTACAGGAAATTTTCTATTTTTAAGGTCTTCAAGAATTGCTTGTTCGGGAATATTTCTGGGCATATCTTTGAGAATAACTTTAAGAGTAGATTGAGAATTAAGTTGATGCATATGGAATTTTTTAAAAATTCTACGGCGTTTGCATAGTCCTCTTCTGTGGTAGTAATTAAATAAACTTTACGCGCTTTCATCTGTGTTTCATATTCATGCTTTAAGATTTGAGCGCTTAAGATTTTTTGAAGATCAATCCAATCTAAATCTTCCTGGGTGATAACTATTGGTGGAATTTTGTTAGCGATTTTTTCATTCTTTCCTGCTTTAGGTGTATCATTTTCTCCTGTGTTATTTAAGGGTTCGAAACGATTTGTTTGTTCTATTTCCGTAGAACTTAAATCTTTTTTGCAAATTTTGTAGGGGAGCTTCCATTCTGGTTCCTTGTTATTTTTAGCTGCGTCTGCGCTTATTTTCTTTTCAAGTTCTTTTCTAGCTTCACTGATGATTTTATGGAGTCTGTTGTGGTCTGCTCTGCTATCTAGATAATTTTGTTCATTTTCTTCTCTGAAGCAATAAATATCACTTTGTTCTTCCATTCGGCCATGGGAGCTATCTAGAATTTCATCGAAGATTGCCTCTCGTTTTTCTTCATTGAGTACGTTATTTTCTCCTTCCATTATTCCTTTAATTAAGTTAGGGAAAATGTTTTTATATTTTTCCATTACTGCTTCGAATTTTTTAGTTCTGGGGGTCTCGATTTTCTCTGAGTTAGTTTTGTTCTTTTCTTCTTCTGGGTTTTTCTATTCACGCCTGGGCTAGTTTTGAAAGTCTTTAAGTTTTAATTTAGCGCTATTCTTAGAGGATGTAGAGTAATCCGATTCATGGTCCATTTCACTGTCATGCCTACTCCAAAGGCGATCTGGTGGTTTTTTGGCCGCCATAATGAAAAACAAACAAGAATACTTACAATAGCTCAAGAAGGACAACCTTCACGTACCGAAGCTCACCTTCGAATCCGTCGGAAGGTTACAGCCGGAAACATCGCGGACGAAAACGTCGCGGAGAAAATAACGCAAGGCGAAAACGCCGTGGTGCAAAAACATCGTGGGAGAAAAGAAAGCAAAGCAAAAACATAGCAGTTCTAAAACATCGTGGAACAAAATATCGTGGTCCAAAATAAAGCGGTTCAAAAACTTCGCAGTTTAAAAACATCGTCATCCAAAATATCGTAGTAAAAAATAAAGTACCTACAAATCATCGCATGACGACAACATCGCATACATGCTTTTTTTCTGTTTTTAAAAGTTGTAAATGCATTTTCGGATAATGATTTGGAAGCGCAAAAAGGAAAGAGGGAAAGAGAGTGCAAATGTTAACGATACTTTAAGAATAAACGGAAATAAAATAAGGTATAATTTTCACTAAAACAATAACAGATTAACAAACATGAAAGAAAATAATTTTAATAATTAATTAAGCAATTTGTACAAGGGCTAACCTCATGTAGTTATTTATCTCTCTTTTTCTATACATTTTTAGACTGTATTTTTCATGAAAAATTATTTGTAAAATCTTATTAAAAATTAAGTCATTAATAACCTTTGTTAATTAGCGATATAAATTCAAAATTAAGTGCTATAAGTTGCATTAATTTTCTATCCATTTTCAATTTTTAAATGCTTAAGTTTCCTTCTTACTTTTCAGCAAAAAGTTATTAGTTCATTCAAAAATATGAAATATGGATGCAAAATATCCCTCTTTCCTTCTTGCGCTCCCAAATCATTATGCGAAAATGCATTTACTTTTAAAAACCTGAAAAATGCATGTGTGCAATGATTTGTAGGTACCTTATCTTTTAACTCGATATTTTCGATGACGATGTTTTGTACTACGACGTTTTCGCCTTGCAGTGTTTTCTTCGCGACGTTTTCGTCCGCGATGTTTTTGTCCCACTGTTTTCGGTGGACACCGGTGGAAAAGGTGTCAATAAATTAAATACAATTTTCCATATATTTTGATTTAACGCAGAAATGTTTTTATTTAGCCGAAATTAGTTTGCATGCCCACCACTATCAAAATTACATTCACTCTCATCATCATATTTGAGCCCTAACAGTTCTTGTTGGCAAGTAATATCAACCTCAGAATTATTTGCAGTAAAAGTACTTTTCATTCAGTCATAAGCACCTTTAACGTCAAAATACTTTTAAATCATTTTTTCACATTCGATTTATTAGAAAGTCCTCCACGATGGCATCCCCTTCCCTTAGGCAGATAGCCCTAGTGTGCTTTGTCATAATAAACTAAAACAAAACCAAACCAAACTATATTCGATTTAAGTCCGATATTAAGACTACTCAACCTATTATTCTCCTCTGGAGTTACATCATCTTTTATAGATAACAATTCGGGAAACTGATGAAATGCTGTCTTTAATAGATTGTGATAAAAACGATCACGTTTATCGATAAATAATGACACAATATTTTTGCAACTCATAAGAGTTCTGTTAGCTTCTTGAAGCTACAAATCGATTTCATGAAATCTCCTTAAAATGTCTACAAATAAAAAATATATTTCTTTATTGCCTTTAATTTTTGACGATGACTGGTCTCATTAATGCTTTCAAAAAATGGTATGATACTATCACTTTGTTGCAAAATGAGATAAGCATGTACTCTTTGACAACCATCGAACTTATCTGTATATAAAAGTAACCTAACAAAATCCTCATTATTGTCCTGACGTAACTGTTGAAACATTCTATCACGCTTGGCATTAGGTTTGATCTTGTATACAGCTTTAATTGCATCTTGCAGCAAAACATTTAGATCTCCGTTCACCATTATGTGTTTTTACACATAATGGAGATCTAATGTCGGAATGGTTGATTGCTC